GATAGATAGATAGATAGATAGATAGATAGATAGATAGATAGATAGATCAATGACAAGTAGATAGACAGACAATACAGATAGGTAGATAGATGATGATGGAGGGATGGAGGGATGGATGGATACTCTTCTTTAAATACTAGAGATTATAGTAATAAGGTGTTGGCAAGCTAGAATAAATAAGAGTAGGGTTGTACCTACAGGGTATGCTTCTTCAGTGCCATGTTATCTTGAAAGTCATCAGTTTCCAAAATAAGCTGTTCCATAAATAATCTGTATAATATGCAACGCAGCTAAGTGGGGTCTTATTCGGCTAAAAATGAATTTATTTGTTTCAGTGAGGTTGCTCTCCTCTACATGTTTTAGTAATGATAGCAGAATCACAGTTATGGGTTGAATATGAAGCATCCTTTGCTGACTCATGTTTGAATACTTGTCATCAGCTGGTGACATTGGTTTAGGAGCTGACAAATCTTTAGAGATGTCTCTGCTGGCAGAGGTGGTTCACTGGGAGTGGATTTTTGAAGATTGTAGATGTTACCACTTCTGGTCTCAGGCTCAGCTTTCTGATTGGCAGTTGCTTTCTGCCCGGAAGCCTCATGCCCATGTCGCCACATAGGGCGCTGTTTCGCTGCTATGCTTTCTTAGTCTTTGTGGACTGTAATCTCCTGAGACTGTGAGCCAAAGGAAATCTTTCTCTCCTTAAATTTGCTCCTAGCAGACATTTTATCACAGTGAAACGAAGGTGACAGGCACGGTGGCATTGGCCTGTGAGGGAGGTAGGGTTTGTTAGAAGGGTAGATGCCTTATCCCACCACTCTGTCGAGTAAGGCAGAATCTGCACCTGAACCAGAAAAGTGGATAATTCATGTGCAAGTGAGGCTTGAAGTTGATAGCAAAACAGTTTTTGATCTAGATAAACTCATGTATGTTCTGAAAATGCTAGTAAATTATAAAAGTGTAAAAAATATCTAAAACCAAAAGCCATCTTAAAATCAAACTAATATAGGTGCACAGACTACTGTATAGTATTAACATATGGTGTTGGGGGAGACCGAGCATAGAAAACTTCAAAAGATGTGCAGTGTGGCATGGGAAGGGAAAGCCGATAGCCACTGGTTCACTGCCAGTTTGAACTGTTTGAAAGTTCCTGACACCCAAGCAAGGCTGAGGCCTGTGTGCCTCTCATGCCAACAGTGACACCATGTCTTAGAAAGAGAAAGATAAACAGTGTGTTTGGAGATGACATACAAGACTGATTATGGCTTAAGAAAATTGATTTGTGGAGAGAGAAAGAACTAATTAAATGTGCAATGCCATGCTGAGAAAGAGGCTTCGGTGATGTGAGCCTCATGTTTGCCCAGTGCTATTTCCCGGAGTTTCTGCATGGAGCATGCAGAACTGGACGGATGCTGAGAAAATGGTTCCCAGCACACCCCCAGCGATTGCAGCCACTCACCTGAGGAGCAGTAGCAAAGGCTGTGTGTCAGAAAACTTGGTGCCTAAGAAACAACGTTTAGTGACATGACTTTGTTTCTGAGGACTTTGAAACCTCCGTGAGCAACAAACAAAAGGCCGTGCACTGAGTTACTGCTACCTTACCACCACGTGGGAATAATTGCAGGCCCCGCCCCTCCAAACTGAAAGTGAGATGGAGAGGAAATAGGATGCTACGTGTGAGGATGCTCTCCACACAGGCAGAGACATGTCAAGACAAGTGATATGTTTCTTCTGCAACATGTGGGTTACTGCTGATGTTAACACACAAAGACATTTCTCCTTCGTCAGGTTGATGTCTTATTTAAGGAAAAATACTCTTCTGTAAAACCATTTATAGAGTGTTGCTTCTCTCCCCTCAGGGATTTGCCTCACTGGTACCTCGTGGGGCTCTTTTTTTCCATTTCATTTGATTATGCAGGAGTTAATTAAGAGCAGCACACACTGCAAAGTGGAAGTAGTTTTTCTTCTGCTTACCTTTTCCAGGTAGGACACTGCCAAGAGGATGTAGAAACCCTGGAAGCCTGGAATCATCCAGGGCCTTAGTGTAGTGACTCCTTATGAGTTAAACCAGCTCATCACCAGGGAGCAGTGGTCTGAGGGTGGCACACTTTCTTCCTTGTCCTTCCATAGATTAGGTATCATCTAAACAGGGAAGACCCAAACCATAGTTCCATGAGATAAAAAGCAAATAAATAAGAAAATACAGTTTTCAAATTCATCGCTTTCCCCTGCCAATTCCTTTAGTTCCACCTTAGTCCTTTTTAGGAGACCTGGTTTCCTTCAGACACTGCTAGAACTCATTAATGTCAGATACGTCAACTATTGTACTCGATATACTAGGTTGTGATAGTATGCAGCATACTTTTACATACTCAGACATCAAGTCACATTAATTGAGAAGTTAGACTGCATTCTGCTACTTTCCCCATACTACAAAGATAAATCCATCCATCTCCTGTGTGGAAATGGTTCTTAGCCACTGCCAGCACTTTACATTGGGAAGAACAGTTGTCTTCAAGGTCAAAGGCGATTGGGGAGGGGATTATATAAGTTACGTTGTAACTTCGTCTATTCTTGCTTCCTCCTGGTTGCTGTACCTACAGAATGGATGGAAGGAGGCGGTTTCTTTCTTTCTAAATCATTCTGCTAGGGACGTATTGATTTTCTCTCAAGAGCATCCAGTGGTCTCAGGTGATCATGTTTTCTCACATTACTCATATTGATAGAGTACCTTTGTTCGTGGTTGACATACATTAGTTGAGCTATGATGGTGCTACCCACGACGAGCTTTTCCTGGTGGTCAGGAGCTTCCGTGCAGGAGATGGAAGGGGACAGGCTGTCTCACAATATTCTTGTTCTTTGAAAAGCAGTTATTGTTCACTTGAAAAGATGTCATAAGCTCTGAGAGGCCCGCTTAACGGTTTCCTCACTCCAACAGCAGTGCCTTGAGGTCCTGAGTGTCTGCGCTGGTACAGTGAAAAGAAACCCCTCACCTAGGCAGCGAATATCCCAGCGTTATGCTCTGTAGGAGAGAGCGTTGGTTGGTGTCCGAAGGAGGAGCCGTGGTTTGCCGTGTGCAGTCGCTGACCCCACCCGGCCTTACTCTGTACTTTCCCTCATGTCACTTCCTTCTGTTTCAGCTGGCTGTGAGGTGGCTGGATCACAACTGCCACTACCAGCACATGGACGAGCTCCTGCAGTACATCCGCTTCGGCCTCATGGATGTGGATACTCTCCACACGGTCGCCCTCGCCCACCCCCTGGTCCAAGCCAGTGAGACGGCCACTGCCCTTGTCAACGAGGCCCTGGAATACCACCAAAGCCTCTATGCACAGCCTGTGTGGCAGACGCGCAGGACCAAACCGCGATTCCAGTCAGATACTCTCTATATCATTGGTGGGAAAAAGCGTGAGGTCTGTAAAGTCAAGGAACTTCGGTACTTCAACCCCGTGGATCAGGAGAACGCCCTCATAGCCGCCATTGCCAACTGGAGTGAGCTGGCGCCCATGCCGGTGGGAAGGAGCCATCACTGTGTGGCCGTCATGGGGGACTTCCTGTTTGTAGCAGGCGGGGAAGTGGAGCACGCCAGCGGCCGGACGTGTGCCGTGAGGACGGCCTGTCGCTACGATCCTCGCAGTAATTCCTGGGCAGAGATAGCACCCATGAAGAACTGCCGCGAACACTTTGTGCTGGGCGCCATGGATGAGTACCTCTATGCAGTCGGGGGCAGGAATGAACTGCGTCAGGTTCTGCCCACAGTTGAGAGATACTGCCCCAAGAAGAACAAGTGGACCTTTGTGCAGCCCTTTGACAGATCCCTTTCGTGTCACGCCGGATACGTGGCTGACGGTCTTCTTTGGATATCAGGTAGAGCGTGCCTCCTCTGTTGGGTTCGTTGAAAAGCGCTTTTGCTGTGACTTACATTTAAAAGTCGACTTCGGTAGAGGACCCTAGTGATTGAGCAGTTGAGCCAAGGATGCCATCTTAGCTAATTAACCACCATTTATCGAGCACCTACTCTCTAGAGAACAATGAGATTGGAAATAATTGACCTTTCTGTGATTTTTCTGAGTGACAAGTGTTATAAAAATTCAGGATGAAAGTTAATTGGCCATCACATCTGTTTTTTTCTACCAAGTGTTCTGTTGCTCGCACTTTCAGCTCCTGTTTATCTGTGAGGTGAATTCCACAACTAGTGTTTCACCCAAGGCCTTTGCTTTTCCTTTCACTCTTGGCTGCCCAGCTAGGAGCCATTTCTTTGGAGGCAGGAGAAATAAAATCCTAGTAAATCCATTTTTTGCTGAGTATAACAAGAGACTCTCATCCAGGGATTAGCTATGCTGTGTACTGGAGGAAGGGATTAAGTTGCTGGGGCGGGGGGGGACACTTTTGTGATATCTGTGAATAGTAGTTTCTTGCGTTGGCCATTACTGTGCACTCTCCCATTCTTACAGACCATTTGTAGGAAGTTTAAGTCTATTAAGTTTACTCTTTTCGTTCATGTTTGAAAAACAAGCAACAACAACACCAATTCTGCTTATGGAAAAAGTAAACTAGTCTAGTGCACAGAGTCTACCATGGCAACCTCAGTCATTAGTCTCTCGTTGCTTCTCTCCACCCTGGCTTTCCTCAGCCCCCTCCAGGCTGCTGCTTGTGGCACAAGACTCAAGGACCCAGAGAGAACTGGAAGATCTGTGGGTTAGAACACTAATGCTCAGACTTAGAGTAAACAACCATGTTAGGAGGCGAAGGCTTCTTGGATTTCCCCAGTTGCCATTTCCAGTTTTTTAAACATCGATTTTGAAAAAAACTGTGCCTAGATTAAATTAGCTTTGGTTCTGCTCATCTTTCCTTCAGTAACCTGGGAGACAGTTAGCCTTGGCTTCTCAGGATGAGGCCTTGGTTCCTTTCGTTGTTGTAACCTATCTTATATTGGAATTTAAGCAGCTAATGAATTAATGCATGAAGCAAGGACTAAGAAAAGGATAAATAAGAACCTAATATTTACTGGTCCTATATACCAAATAAAAACATTAGAAGTTAGTGTATATGTAGAAATATTTAAGTAAAATTCATATTTATTAGTGGCTTCTTTCCTCTAAATATTTATTTCAACTACTAAAAAAGTTACCTGGCTTCTGGTTGGTTTTGCTGAAGAAATTTCAAAATGGCTGTGACTGAATCTTTGCTAAGAACAGGAACAGGTCTGGATTTTCCTGAACATAGAGTAATGGTGGGTTTATAAAATCAATGCAGTTTTTATTTTCTCCCAATTTGCATTTCTTCCATTGACTCATTTGGTTTCACATGTTGTTAATGCAGTATATTCTTAAATTTTGCAATGTGCTTTCTAAATTTTGTATGAATTTCACATAAATATTTTAATAGGTATGTCTTGTTTTGCAAACACAGCTTTAAAATATCCTTGATTTCCCTCCCATAGTCATAAGGCTATACTACTCTCTGTCCCTTTCAGTGATGCTTAAAGGAGCAGAAGCTCAAAAACCTGGCCAGGCCTACCATCCTGAGATAAAGCATCTTCCCTTTCAATAAGGGCCGACGTGATTCCCTTCCATCGTATCAAATCTATCAACTTACTGTATATCTTACTGTCATCTCACTTTGTTTTCCTCCGGCTGTGAAAGGAGAGACGCTTTCTTTGTTCCTCGTCCTAACGAATGCTGCCTGTGTTAACCGTATTTAATGAAAACAATCAGAATTTTCTCAGGCTTGTTTCTCCCTACTGTGCACTTGAGATGAGAAGCCCACTTTCCTGGGTCGAGTATGATACTTTTAATTGGAAAGAGGAGGAATTGCCAGCGACATTTCTAATACCTGCTCTTGTCTGCCTCTTTCCTCCGGCCTAACTTATCATAAATCAATTGTGAATTTAACCATGAATGGGGGGGGGGGTGGCTGGCTGGATTTGCTCATGGGCCCCTTTAAAAGTAGATGGGACTATTTTATCTTCCTGTCTCTGATTTGGAAATGTTAGCTTGGCTTATTGGAACAGATGAAAATGTGTGAAGCTATTTCTTAACGCTGACCAAATAATCAAGAATTTCCAGTTGATAGAGTGTTGAGTCATTGGCATCCTCCTGGTACTTTGCAAGCTCTGTCTGAGGTAGGGGTGGTGTGGATTATTGAATGTGATCTTAAAGGCTTGGTTCTGTTCCATGGAACACAGAATGAATGTGTCTTCAGAGACTTGGTATTTTGTAACATGCTCACTCCCTCTCTGCCCCCTCCCCCATCCTGTCCATTTGGGGTCAAGGCAGTTTGAAAACTGTCCACGGCTTGTCAGTATGACAACCAGAGAATTCAGAAAGCTAGGTTGGATGGATATGCCCATTAGCATTTAATTTAAGATGTTAGAGACAGTCAAATTTTAAAGGCTTCTGTAGCATTTGACACTGTGACCCAGTTCACAAATGCACTATGCCGTTTTGATTTAAAATCTACACGTCTGAAGTAAAATAAGCATTAAGTATCCTATAGCTGTGTTTTTAAAAATACATGCTTGCTGCTTTACAGGGTAACATGTGAACCACTGAAAAGATCCTTTTGTGTGTGTGTGGAAGGAAAATTAATCTGAGCCCATCTTGTAGAACTTATCTGTTCATTTTTATCAGATGGCAACAAGATACTGAGATGCTGGCCATGAAATTAGTGCTTTAAAACTAGAAAACAAGACAAATGATACTGTAGTTACTCAAAAGCGTCATATCATGTTTTCTTGATTCTCTCAGTAAGTGTTGTACCCTTATATACTTTGGTGCTGTGCCATAATAAATATGATTAACTCAGTAAACACATCTCTTGCCTGCCAGAAACTGACAATTAAAAGGTTTTGAGGGTTTGGGGTTGGTTTTGGTTTTTCAAGACAGGGTTTCTCTGTGTATCCCTAGCTATCCTGGACTCACTTTGCAAAGCAGGCTGGTCTTGAACTCAAAGAGATCTTCCTGCCTCTCTGCCCTCCACGTGCTGTGAATAGAGGCATGCACCACCATGCCTGGCACTAAGGTTTTTTTGTTTAGTTCTGTTTTGTTTTTAGATATGTAAAAAAAAAAAAAAAAAAAAAAAAAAAAAAAAAAAAAAAAAAAAAAAAGCCTGTCAGTGCTTCTTTGATTTCCTAAGAACTATGTTTATTTTCATCTTAGTTGGGTTTAAATGAAGCTTGTGTTTCCCCATTTTAAATCACTTTAAATTATTCAATCTACTGAAAGAACTTTGGGTTTTCTACTGTCTACTAAAATTAGAACAAGGTAATTTTAAGTAATGTTGTTAAAATACCATTGCTTTGTTTTTTCTCTGTCTACATAGATATTATTTTGTTTGCATTTAAAATGTTGGGAAGTAAGAACAGGCATTGTTATGGTTGGGATATGAAACATTAAAATAAGATAATACAGTTACTGCAAGTATGAAATTCACCTCAGTTCTCCTCAAGCATGAGACGCTGAGCAGTGTCCCAGGCTTCCCAGGAGTCCTGTTCTGGTCCCTGCTGGGGCGACAGAGTTGGGGAGAGTCAGCAATCGCCACATGTGATGTGGTACGGGGGTCTTCCCAGGTACAGAAATCATATGAACGGCAGGAAGCCATTTTCAAGGTGGCCTGCAGTGGCATGCTGGGCCCAACTGGTCCCAGCTCCACTAGCTGTCCTCTGCCATTCATTCCCCTCCCTGGCTTTCCACATGAACATCGTCATATCATCACTTCAGTAATTCCCTTGTCTCTTAGGAAACACAGCATTGGGCGCGCCGAGTGTCTGTCTTTGTCCATGTAGTTGTCCTTCAGGAACCATAGGGGACTGGCTCAAAAACACACACACATGCAAGCAGTCACACACTCTGCTGGTAGCAAAGTCCTCAGGAGGGAGACAGAAGGGTTGCAGGGAGGAAGGGGAAGGAAGGTGTAATTTAATTGTATCATAATTGCAAAACATAAAAGCAAAATAAGGGAGGTGGGAATCCCGCATATGCTCAATTTTCTTATTTAAAATGGTATCATGTTTGCATAGTCTGTGCACGTTGTCCCACATACTGCAGTGTCGATGCTGAGCACATACTTGGTATAGTTTATTGTTTAGACAACAGTGACACAGGAAATCCATATGTGTTTGGTACTAGCACAGTTTTTGCCAAATATTTTGAAGCCAAGTTGGATCTGCAGATGCGAAAACCACAGATACAAAGGACTGACAGTTTCCAGCCAGCTGAGATTGAAGGACAGGTACCGGGAAGACTTGAGGGAGCACCTGTCAATTTTCCAAGGCTGTGACACTGCCTAGCCTTTTGATCCCTGCTAACCCTCTTCCCTCCCCTCCTTCACCTGCCTCCATTCCTTATGACCTCTCCCTCTGACTTAGACAGAGGACCTTGCCTTCTGTTTTTCAGACTAAATGCAAAATTGCAGAGGGAATAATGACTACTGTGGAGAGACAGAAAAGCGTCCAAGAGCATCATGTTAGGAAGGAGAATGCTGGGCGGGCCCTCTGGAAGAAGCCTGAAAGTTTAAAGTACATAGGGTCAGCGATGGGGAGGAGTTTGCAGCACCCAGGGCCCCAACAGGAGTCCGCAATAAGTGAGACTCATCTGGTACCACAGAAGGACCAGAGTCCAGAATATTTGCCTTGCATTTTTCAATTACAGACATTCTAGTGGAAGGGAATTCAGATGAATAGACTGTGGAGCAAAGCAGAGAACTATAGTTCAGGTGTAATGAGAAAGTAAGGAGGTAAGAACTATGGGTACAGGCTATACTGGCTGTTGTACTGTAATTCCCAGGGACACAGCATCATTGAAATTTCATCCCTGAGTCGGAGCTCATCAGATAATGTCCCAGTTATTGTTCGCCTTCTCCTATAC